AAGACGAAAGGAGGAGGAGGAGGAGGAGAGAAGAAGAATAAGACGAGAGGAGGAGTAGGAGGAGGAGGAGGACCTGCCGGTAGTGTATGGGGCCGACGAAAAAAAAAAAAAAGAGGATGATGGAGGAGGGCGAGGAGGAGGAGGAGGAGGAGAGAAGGGGAAGACGAAAGTGGGTGGTGGAGGAGGAGAGGAGAAGAAGAGGAGAGGAGGAGGAGGAGGACGAGGATGAGAGGACAAGAGGAAAGGAGGAGGAGGAGAAGGAGAGAAAAATAAGAAGTTGAGAGGGAGGAGGAGGAGGAGGAGGAGGAGGAGGACCTGGCGCGGAAAAAAAAAAAAAAAAAAGACGAGGAGGAAGAGAAGAAGGAGAGAAGGAGAAGACAAAAGTAGGTGGAGGAGGAGGAGGAGGACAATAAAGAAAACCAATGAAATCGGGACGAGGAGGAGGAGGAGGAGGAGGAGAGAAGGAGACGAAAGGAGGAGGAGAAGAAAGCAGGAAGAGGAGAGAAGAAAACAAAAGGAGGAGGAGGAGGAGGAGGAGGAGGAGAAGAAAGGAGGAGGAGGAGGAGGAGGAGAGAAGAAGAAGACAGGAGGACGAGGAGGAGAAGAAAGGAGGAAGAGGAGAGAAGACGAAAGAAGGAGGAGGAGGTGGAGGACGAGGAGGAGAGAAGAAGACGAAAGGAGGAGGAGGAGGAGGAGGAGAGAAGAAGACGAAAGGAGGAGGAGGAGGAGGAGGAGGAGAAAAAAAGGTGAAAGGAGGAGGAGGAGGAGGAGGAGGAGGAGAGGAGAAGATGAATAGGAAAGGAGGAGGAGGAGGAGACGAAGAAGAAGAAGAAGAAGAAGAAGGAAAGAGGTGGAGGAGGCTTCACCACAATGGGGACAGCAGCTTCACTGGCAGCGACGACGGGGAGGGCTTCTCAACGGGGAGCAATGATGAGCAGCTCGACGAGGAGGAGCAGCGACGACGGGCGGGCTTCGTGACGGCAGTGATGACGGGAGGCTTCGTAATGGCAGCAACGACGGGCTTCGCAACGGGGAATACCACGTTCGAATTCGAACGCGGCGTCGTAGCCCGCCAGAAGAAGACCTTCCCCCGCCCCCTAAAACTAGTTGTAGATTAAAAAAAAAAAAAAAAATTGTGTTGCTGGAGGCCGGGGAGGCGACCACTAGCCGAAAATGGCCTCCTCTCCCCCCCCCCCATTGCACCGGGCTCGCCCAACCCTAAACCGGGGGACCCAACCGGCCGGGTCGCCCGGGACCCTTGCCGGACGATGGCCAGGCCACCGGACGGCCGGGTTTTTAACGCAGGTTTAAACCCTTTTAAACTCTTTCAAACCGTAGACCCTCCCTGAACCTGTGCACTCGCCACACTCAATCCCCCAAGCCTAGCGTCATGCACTGAGATGCAATCCTAATCAATGCAATGCAGCATGATAATGGGGAAGATCAGCCTGATGGAGAAGGTTTATGTCCAGTTGCTCGAAGAACAGAATATGCGTCTCGTTCCCCAAGCCTCCAGATGATAAGATGCAGAGCGATATTCTTGGTTTGGAGAGCTGGAGAGGCTGACCATATGTGCTTGTCCTTGTATTCCCTTGGGATGCCGAGCTTCCTTTCCTCAGTGGGGGGGGGGGGG